TTTTCAGCCTCTATTGTGTCATGTTATTTATGGACCTTTTATACATGTAGCTTACTATGCGTTATTGGTTCTGCTCATTGATGAAGGCTGTCAGAAACCTATACATATATTTTTTAACCTTTTCGTCATAAGGTATCTGGTGGAGAGTTAATTCATTGTCTCATTGGCAATCATACCCCAACTTCTTATTTTTATATTGGAACTGTAATCAAGTCTTAAGCAGGCAAACTGAAAGGGAACTGTAGTACCTTTAATAAATAACTACTGAAAAACAAGAGTGCACACGCTGAAATGTCTCACCTTCTTTTCTAACCATTGATTTTATGTTGATAGTCCTAAATATAAAGCTTTACTACAAGTAACACATAAACTTAACAAGATCCAAGAAAATGAGGTCAAGGTCAGATCAACCAAATGAGAAATACATGTACACCTTACAATCATTCAATAATACAAACATAGTTGACCTATTGCTTATAGTTTCTAATAAACAGTCTTAACCAAGAAAACTTAACATTGACCAATGAACCATGAAAATGAGGTCAAGGTCAGATGAACCATGCCAGACAGACATGTACACCTTACAATCAATGTATGCATTAAATATAGTTGACCTATTCCTTATAGTGTCTAAGAAACAAACTTAACCATGAAAACTCAACATTGACCAATGAACCATGAAAATGAGGTCAAGGTCAGATGAACCATGCCAGACAGACATGTACACCTTACAATCAATTTATGCATTAAATATAGTTGACCTATTCCTTATAGTGTCTAAGAAACAAACTTAACATGAAAACTTAACATTGACCAATGAACCATGAAAATGAGGTCAAAGTCAGATGATACCTGTCAGACAGACATATACACCTTACAATCCTTCCATACAACACATATAGTTGATCTATTGCTTATAGTTGAAGAAAACAGACCAAAACACAATAAAATGCTCCGCTGGGCGCAGCTTGATACGACCGCAGAGGTCGAACCCTGAACAGTTGGGGCAAGAATGGACACAACATTCAACTTTGATACAGCTCTGAATTTGGATTGTGATTAAATATTTGACACAGCATAGGTTTCTGACACAGAATGAATGTTATCTAAGAACAGAATTTTTTTTAATTTACCTATAATATGGTCCAATATTTAAAATCTAAATACATGGTTAGATTCAGCACATCAAAGAATCCAAAGAATTCAATTTTTGATGAAATCAAACAAAGTTTAATTTTGGACCCTTTTGACCTCAATGTGGACCAATTTGATAATGGGGCCCAAAAATCAAAATACATGGTTAGATTCAGCATATCAAAGAACCCCATATATTCAATTTTTGTTGAAATCAAACAAAGTTTAATTTTGGACCCCAACTTGAACCAACTTGAAAACTGGGCCCATAATAAAAAATCTAAACACATGTTTAGATTCAGCACATCAAAAAACCCCAAGAATTTAATTTTTTTTTAAAATCAAACTAAGTTTAATGTTGGACCCTTTGGACCTTAATGTAGACCAATTTAAAAAACGGGACCCAAAATTAAAAATCTAAATACATGGTTAGATTTGGCATATCAAAGAACCCCAATAATTCAATTTTTGATGAAATAAAACAAAGTATAATTTCGAGCCCCATTTGGACCAACTTGAAAACTGGGCCCGAAATAAAAAATCTAAATACATGTTTAGATTCAGCATATCAAAGAACCCAATATATTCAATTTTTATTAAAATCAAACTAAGTTTAATTTTGGACCCTTTGGACCTTAATGTAGGCCAATTTGAAAACTGGACCCAAAATTAAAAATCTAAATACACGGTCAGGTTTGGCATATCAAAGAACCCCAATAATTCAATTTTTGATGAAATAAAACAAAGTTTAATTTTGGACCCTTTTGACCTCGATATGAACCAATTTGATAGCGGGGCCCACAAATAAAAAATCTAAATACATGGTTAGATTCAGCATCTCAAAGAACCCCATATATTTAATTTTTGTTGAAATCAAACAAAGTTTAATTTTGGACCCAAATTTGGACCAACTTGAAAACTGGGCCCGAAATCAAAAATCTAACTACATGTTCAGATTCAGCATATCAAAGAACCCCATATATACAATTTTAGTTAAAATCAAACTAAGTTTAATTTTGGACCCTTTGGACCTTAATGTACACCAATTTGAAAATGGGACCAAAAATTAAAAATCTAAATACACGGTCAGATTTGGCATTACAAATAAATATGGTCAAAGATTTTACAAATCTAATGCGCCATACTGTGCAATTAAAGATTACTTCTTGAAATTTTTCAATTTTTGAAATTTGAAAAAAAAAATATTTGAAGAATAATTCTTTTCAATTTCTGAAATCTGAAATGAGAAAAAATTGACCCCCACCTTTTTCCCCCAAAAAATTCTTTCCCTCAAGATATGGTCATAATCTCAATTCAAATTTCCAATGGAATTTGCAACCATAATTACCCATTTAAATTTACCATAGTGCTAACTTAATCTATTTTATAATAGAATTTAAAATATGGTGTCAAATCTTTCATATGGATTTTTTTGTAAAAAAAAAAGATGCAACATTTACAGATATTTTTACTGGTCTTCCTTTATAAATATGCATTTCTTTAAACATTATTTAAAAGCAGTGTAAGGGAAGTAATCAAAATGTTGTATGTGGATTACCTCCCTTACACTGTTTTAAATTGTCTTAATTGTTCATTAACCATTACTTTATACATAATTTAAAAGCAGTGTAAGGGAGGTAATTCAAATGATGTATTTGATTGATCTCCCTTACACTGCCTTAAAATTATGTTTTGTACTAAAGTATTTGTCCATATAAAAATGCTTGTTTTTTGCCCCTTTTTTGGCCCCTAATTCCTAAATTTTTGAGGCAATTACCCCCAAAATCAATCCCAGCATTCCCTTTGTGATATGGAACCTTGTGGTACAATGTCAGAGAGATCCATACACTAACACACAAGTTATGTCAGAGAGATCCATACACTAACACACAAGTTATGTCTGGAAGTTACAAAAATGCTTACTTTTGGCCCCTAATTCCTTAACTGTTGGTACCATAACCCCCAAAATCAATCCCAACCTTCCTTTTGTGGTATTGAACCTTATGGTAAAATTTCATAGAGATCAATTCACTTAAACTAAAGTTAGAGTGCGAAAACCAATGTGTCTTCGATAAACGACGACGACGATGCCGTCATACCAATATAAGATCGCAAAATTTTTTTGCGGTCGTATAAAAACTTGACACTGAGAAATGAACCGTGAAAATGAGGTCAAGGTCAAATAAAACCTGCAAGACAGACATGTAAATCATAAAATATTTCCATACACCAAATATATATACTGTAAATTCAGAAATTATTGCGTGCATTTATTATTGCGAATTTTGTAGAATAGACCAAAATGCGAGATTAATTATTGCGATTTCAGGAAAATCTGTATACAATTATACGTATAAGATATAAGAATGCGAGTTCTTATTATTGCGATACTCATTCAGTCGCATTATTCGCATTAATAAAAACCTCGCAATAATTTCTGAATTTACAGTAGTTGACCTATTGCATACTGGATTAGAAAAAAAGACCAAAACTCAAAAACTTAACTTTGACCACTGAACCATGAAAATGAGGTCAAGGTCAGATGACATCTACCAGTTGGACATGTACACCTTACAATCATTCCATATACCAAATATAGTAGACCTACTGCTTATAGTATCTGATATTTGGACTTGACCACGAAAACTTAACCTTGTTCACTGATCCATGAAATGAGGTCTAGGTCTGACAGGCATGAGGACCTTGCAAGGTACACACATACTAAATATAGTTATCCTATTACTCATAATAAGAAAGAAATTAACATTACAAAAAATGTTAAACTTTTTTTTCAAGTAGTCACTGAACCATGAAAATGAGGTCAAGGACAATGGACATATGACAGACGGAAACTTCGTAACATAACGCATCTATATACAAAGTATGAAGCATCCAGGTCTTCTAGCTTCTAAAATATAAAGCTTTTAAGAAGTTAGCTAACGCTGCCGCCAATGGATCACTATCCTTATGTCGTGCTTTCTGCGACAAAAGTGGCAGGCTCGACAAAAATCAATGAAATATTCAAAGGATACAATGAAGCTAGCCATATGAAATATTTTTTTGTATGTTGTGCACCTCTTTTCTCCTTTCAGTGGCAGGGGCTATGTTATATGGTTGGCTGTATCATAACTTGTGATAGGATATAGTTATGCAGTGTTAAATGCCGGTCCCAATGGGACACAGATCCCCAGGCAACCCCAAATTGATAGGGATAAAATAATTAAATTATTTCACTCAATCTCAACAACAGGACAAAAGTGAAGGAAATCAATCTAAGCATACTAGAATATTTAAGTATGTGATACTGTGGATTCAGTATTATTCGTTGGATACCAATTTTCGTGGGTTTTGTGGGTACAGGTGAACCACGAATTCAAATGTTCAACGAATTGAAATTTTTATATAGGCTTTGTATACAGAGATTGCTAAACCACGAAATCAAATATCCAGGAAAACGCAAGTTTTCCTCAATCCACGAAAATTGATACCCACGAAATTAAATGAATCCACAGTATGTGATAAATATTCAAAAGTGAGATTATTTGATCAAATCTAGCCTTATGATACAATTTCTTGAAAAAGTATTAAAGCAAAATTGAGCTCTTCTACAACATATGGGCAAATGTCTAATTTTCCATTAATAAAGTCCAATAATTCTGGAAAGGCAAAACTTGAATTCGCCAAAAGCAAAGTGAGCTTTCTGTAAATTACACTCATACAAAATAAAAGGGAAACACTTGAGGCCAGAGCTGAGGGAAGATATATTCGGTTGTCAAAAGTATACCAGTAAAATAAAACATATAGAATCTTATTTATTATATAACAGTGATATTGCTTTGATAAAAAATTTCATGAAAAAAACTGAGTCAATAATCTGAATTTTTTACTAAATATTGTAACATTTCACTTATGCACATTTTAATGTTTATGAGTCTGTCATATTTAAAAATCCTCTTTTTACTACACTTTGGAGCCCATAGTCTGCTAAAGCTTCATTTATTTAATCCTGCATTAGTTCAACAAAAATGTCTGCTAATAATCACTTGAACCACCTGAGTTATTTGGTGGGGTTACCTTTCTGTACATGAATATATCTCTCTTAATAAATTTCGTATACATTTTGTAAATTGTTGATTCCAGGTATTAAATTTTTTATCCTCCAGTAAAATTATTCTCTGACACGATGTGTTGTGTACTGAAAAAAGAAAATATTTTGTTATTAAATTAAAGTTTGTTAATTCAATCAAGACGTAATGAAGAATGATAATTATAATATATTGTATTTCATTGTTATGGCCATCTATGACCCCAATACAGTCTGCTTAAGTCATTCTCTTATCTGAAAATAATGACAAATTCATTAAAACACTTCATTAGGATATAATGCACATCTTGTAAGAGTTACTTCCCTTGTATTGTTTTTAATCATTTAAATTAATTTTAAATTACTGTACCCTTCATTCTTGAAATTAGGTTTTAAATCCAAATGAAACAATATTGACATTTATACAGCATAGATAATAGAATAAAATCTTTAAACTATTAAAAGTATACCATTTGGCCTTAAAGTCTGAATGATTCCTTGGCCTATATCCTATAAATTTTAAGTTCCAATCCCAATTTATTACATTGGCAACTTTCATGTCTGACTGTTAAATGCAGAATATTTTCAGTCTGTTTCCTTATGAAAACAGTTTAAATACCATGTATATTATGTTTTTGTTTCATATTTGGGGGATTGAAATCATAGCACATTGTCAATAACCCACTTTTGTAACCCTATTAAAACAGACAATTTCAGATTACTTACCCTTAATATATTGTAGTCCTATTGTTTTCTGTTAACAAAAATAATTTTGCTTTCAACATCACTGGACATTCCATTTGATTACTGTTTTCTTGTTGTATGTACAGAATATCATACATGTACAAGTATTTTTGTTTGAATAAAAAAGTCCTCTGTTTTGAATTTTTGATCTATAGTGAACATCTTTCTCCATCCTGTAAATATAAAGGAAATTTACATACAATTACTATTAATGTAGAAAGTCTTATAACAACAACACTGGAGGGACTGCTGCAGAAAATTTATTGATCGACATGTTTCGGTGCCTAGGGCACCGTCATCAGGGACTCTAACTCACTACAGACTCACCAGGCGTTGGTTCACTTTCGTTTGTAATTACTATTAATGTTTATTTACTAAATTATTCAAAGCAAAATTAAACTTTGCATTGTTATTGTCAACACATGAATACAAATTTGCCAAATAAATTACCAAGAAAATACAAGTATTTATTAAGTATTATAGATAATTATGGCAATGCCCCCAGCATTTTTGCTCAATACATGTACATAAAAGTTTCAGACAAAGAAAACATTTCAAAAGTCTTGAAAAATAATTTTTTGGTTTAACAAGGATCAAATTTATGTTATACCAAACCTTTTGATAACATTTTTATATTTAATAGTTTGCATAAACATCATAAGATCATAACATGTCTATTGTACAATGCAAGCTGAAATTTTATACATTTTGGGGGCACTCAAAACCCAGTTTTATTTTAATTTAAATCCTGGAACCACCACTGTCATGACTGTATTGTCACTAAATTGACACCTTGAATTTGACTATATTAATGAAGTTTGAGAAAGTAATATTGTTAATGGATTATCATTTCTAATTAGATTGTTTATATAATCATTGGAAGAATATAACATGTCAGATATAACATGTATAAAGAAATTGTAAATTAATTAGTTTCCGGGGATTCATGTAATGCAAAGCAGCATGTGTACAAGCTTTTCAAATGGGTGGGTAATTGGTTAATTTCAATGTGTAAATTTCTTTTATAATTTTAGAGTTATGATTTAGAGGATGGCTATCTTAATTAATTTTTTTATGGGAAAGATCTGGTACATGTCCATGTAATCATGGTGATAACCGAACATAAAATAAACATTGCTCTGACAAGAGTGCTGACACAGGATGAACATGAATATTCTGTCCAATAAAAAGGAAAGAACAATTGTGTACAGATTGAAAAAAAATTAATAAGCCATAATAGTAAAATAAGAAGATGAATATAATGTCCCCTTAAATTCCTCCTACCCACCCACCCACATAAAAATAAAAATTTTCGTATGAGTATGGATAGTGAACCCCCCATTGACATAACAAGTGCTTGTGATTGATTTCCCTTTGTATTATATGTTAATATAGTAATGAAAGTCTTTTTAAATATTAAATTTTGGTGTATATGAAATGGGACGCCTCTGATTTGATAATGGACTTTTGAGTTGAATTTGAGACGGTCAGCAAAATTCATGTGTATTTGGGGGAGAAATTACCCCCTTTTTAGAGAACTTACAGTCGGCATTACACGTGATCATCCGTGCTTTCAAATTTGATTAATTTTGGTCCGCATTTGCTGTTAGAGGTTCACAATGTTCTATTATCTTAGCACGAAGTGATAGCGTGAATATTTTCCAGGGAGATTGTGAAGAACACTTTGAACAGTTTGAAAACGGATGTTGACAACTTGTGTGGGTATAATATTCCCGGAGACAAGGACGGATACCTAAGACCGAAATCCGAATATAATTCACCAGTGGTTGGTGTAAATAGTGTATTCAATATATGTTAAGAAATGATGAAAAATGGGATTTCAATTTTCATGTTTCATATAATTTTACACTTTATTTTTGCCGTTTAAATCATTTTTTGGGATTCCACTTTTTTGAAAATAATTAACTTGGTATAACTGAAATAATCCTTTACCTTTTATGTTGTGTGGCATAAAGTTTTAGCATCCAAGAATGTCATAAATGCATCTTTACAGCATGGAATGCCAAATCCAACGTCAAACAATGGCCGCCATTACGTGTTGTCAACGTCGTCTAATGAACCGTATCACTGAGCACCGAAATCAATACTCAGGCGCTTCCGGTTGTCCTACTGTATATGGGTTTTGTAACGACGTGCGTTAACCAATCAAACTCCTAGAAATATACTAAGCCGGGGATAAAGGCTTATGATGCACTGTACTTATAAAGTACATATATATTTATAGAAAGGTTGGGGCTGGTGAGTGAGTGGAGCACCTATATTTTTTACAGGGGGGCCGTATGCATTTGATATTGACTCTGTCCAAAATTCGATTTATTCGTATGGCTTACATAAAATTGGTGCATTGTTTTATAAATTTGCCACCCCATTGATGTATGATCGGTTGAATTTTTCCATTCCAATTCATATATTTTATACTTTCTGAAAAAACGGACTGTCCCGGATTAGGGGGAGGGTTGGGATCCCGCTAACATGTTTAACCCCGCCACATTCTGTATATAAGTATGTGCCTGTTTCAAGTCAGGAGCCTGTAGTTCAGTGGTTGTCGTTTGTTGATGAGTTACATATGTGTTATTTGTTCATTTTTTGCACAGGGACTCGGTTAGCAGATAAAAAAAAAATTATCTATGTTTTTTCAATCTTTTTTTTCGTATTTCCTGTCTATTCGTATTACATTATACGGATAGTAAACTGCATTTGCTAGAAAACAAAGAAATATTGATGCCAACGTTAAAAACGTTAATAATGTAATTACAAATAGACAGGAAATATGAAAAAAAGATTGAAAAAACATAGATAAAAATCTGCTAACCGAGTCCCTGTGATTTTTTGTGCATAAATGAGGCCGTTAGTTTTCTCGTTTGAATTATTTTCATTTGTCATTTCTGGGCCATTTATAGTTGACTATGCAGTATGGGCTTTGTTCATTGTTGAAGGCTGTATGGTGACCTATAGTTGTTAATTTCTGTGTCATTTGGTCTCTTATGGAGAGTTGTCTCATTCGCAATCATACCCATCTTCTTTTTTATATTGAACATTATGTTTGAGCAGCGGTTTGTGTCCACTGGCGTTTGTATGCATGTAAACTCCCTTCTCGTCTCCCTAAAGCAACCAAGACTCTAATCTATGCGTCACGGTCACCATAGAGCCTGCTATGAACGAAGACGTAAATATTGACATTTTTTGCTGCCTTTTTATCTACCGTGTCAAATGAAAAAAACATGATCGCATATAGCTGCATGCTATAGATTTGATTTTTAATTTTTTTGTATATGTTGTTCGTCAATAAATTTAAACCGCAATGGTGACTAGGGTATACAGAAATGTGATAATTTCCGTTTTCTCCCGACAATCAAACCATTGCTAGTGCGGGTTGTCCTTTTGACTGTGTGTAATGTTTAAATTCAGAAAGGAGACGTGAAGTCTGATGCCTCATGATGAGAGTGTCATACAAATCTTTGTATTTTGAAGAACCTCTGAAACAACTGTTTGAGGGTCCGTAGATACCCGGGGTAGGTACCCAGTTATAATGCTAATTTTTTCCCGGCCTTCAATGCAGATCTATATACCTATTGTATTCATTGTTAATTTGTTTTCGTCCTGATCATACGTGAAATACTTGGCACTGGAAATAATGCAAATTATTCAACCATTTTAGATGTATTCTGCTTTTTATCGATCTAATGAGTATAATACCACAGTTCCATTTTTATTATAAAGATAATCGACTTATCGCCGGTTCGTTGAAAATCAAACAACCTTTTACTTCTGAAATTCGATAAGATAACTAAGATCTTTTTGTCAATCATTATGTCGGACTAAAATTGTCCCGAGTCATAATTTTTTTTTTATGAATTGAACAAACACTCTGCTCCTAAAAATTGATTTTCAATCACTAACTTAAGTACTTCATATCAAAAACCAGAGTAGGCACATGAACGAATGTACGAATGAAAATTGTTAACTTGTATTTGGTTTTTTTATTATCCCAGTCTCCTTTTATTTCAATTATTAGAATAACAAAAACAGTACAATAAAACGATACTAAGGACGTATACCGGGTATTTGATACGGTTTATGGGTTGATTAAAAAAAGACATACTGTCCTAAGTCAGGAATAACACCTGTCCTAAGTCAGGAATCTGATGTTCAGTAGTTGTCTGTTTATGTTGTTCATAAGTGTTTCTCGTTTCTCGTTTTTTATATAGAATAGACCGTTGGTTTTCCCGTTTGAATGGTTTTACACTAGTAATTTTTGGGGCCCTTTATAGCTTGCTGTTCGGTGTGAGCCTAGGCTCCATGTTGAAGACCGTACCTTGACCTATAATGGTTTACTTTTACAAATTGTGACTTGGATGGAGAGTTGTCTCATTGGCACTCATACCACATCTTCCTATATCTATATAATTACCAGTGTATGTGAATGTATTTTTTTTCCAAACAAAGTAATAACATGCACAATACTGTCATGCAGTTTTTCTGTCATTTCCCAAAGAGGAAACAGCTTACGTTGGATCGAGAAACAATTTTTATAAAAATAAGTCCTCACATTTTTCTTACGGGGAACTAGAAGTCAAAAGACATTGGCTGCAATGAAGACTATAATTAGCATTGGCGAACACGGGCTGATTTTCCGAGGGATGGAACCCCCTCCTTTTTTCGATATAAATCTTTTAATTAATAACGTTTCATGCATGGTGTTCCGGGGGTTGCAATCCCACTTCTCAAAACAGCTGAATTGCGCCTGGTTAGAAAGAATTTGTATAAATAAGCCCATATCCCCTGTAAAGTCCGAATAACAATCGTATAATACTTCACGAGTGTCCTGCTATGTATATGTTCCGGCCCATATGAGTATGTGGACCAGACGCGTATGGTCATGACCATAAGCTTATATACTCGAATGGTCCGAGTAATTTACTGATGATGAATGGTCAAAAGGAATCGCGCAATTAAAATTGTTTAAAAATGAAATTTTGACTTATTCAATCATAAGGTTATCAATATTACATGATAAAGGAATTAAAGTGAACTTTACTTACAAGTTAAAATTATCATAACATATAGAAATAATTCTTAAATGGCTATACTATGTCGACTTTGAAAATAACTTCAAAGAAATATATTAATGAACTGTTTATTGAGAAGTTATCCCAGCTGCTGAACACATAGGAACTTTGATTATTTTTTTCCCCCAAATTATATTGTTATTTAGATTTGTTCTTTAATAAATATTCAAATCACATCACAATAACAATAAAATCGTATATAAAGGAGCAAAAACACGTGCATTAAATGAAAATATGAAGAAATTAGAAGAAATGTGACTTTGCGGACAAAAAGGTGGATAGCAGAAAGGCGCTTTAAATTAAGACAAAGTTAAAGGAATTCTGAAAGCTATACTTGTGCTGTTTTTGGTTCGGAGAAGGATCTGTGTGTTCCTGCGAAGGAAACTAAAGTTCATCAAAAAAAAAATAACCAAGTACATTTGTATATACTGATATGAGCCTGTTAACTTGTTACCAAACGAGTATCCAACCGTACGCGTATGTCGGACTATAATAGTATAGGCATATGGCCATGAACATACGTATGATTCAAGTATTCAGTAATATGGTCCGGAAATTTTTTTTTTTCTGGATCTTCCATATCCCCTACGAAGCCCGAACCCCTGGCCCGAATAACAATTATATTATACTTGAGTGTCTTTCAACAGTAAACTTTTAACATGTATGCTATATTGATGACGCACTGTTGACCTTTAACTTTCATTTTTGTTTCATGGTGTTGCTCTGTGGCACCGTTAAAGTCCACAATTCCTCTAAAGTCCACAACACCGCTAAAGTCCACAACAATTTTCCGCTAAAGTCCACAACGCCGTTAAAGTCCACAAAATTTCCGCTAAAGTCCACAAAATTACCTCCGCTAAAGTCCACAAAAAAACGCCGTTAAAGTCCACAATAACAAGTTCCGCTAAAGTCCACAAAAAAGCACCGTTAAAGTCCACACATTTTTTTTTTTATTATCAAAAGATCAATTCGCCTATTTTTACTCCCGATAGTATATATAGATCTAATAAAAAGCATGGACTTTTGTTCTTGGAAAGTATTTCTTATCAGCTTGAATTATATTTTTGATAAATGAAAAGATTATAGTATCTGCTTTTGATCCCCATAAATTTGATCTTTGTATTGCGATTTTCTATCAATCAAACAGACAACATTTCTGAAAAGTTATCTAGCAATGGTGCTCTTTTTATTCTTTAGTAAACATTTGTTCATCCACAAGAAACTCCAACATAGCGTTCTCTTTATGTATATGCTGGAGACACTGACATAATTTGGAGCCTATATTTGACATTTAAATTTCCTTTGCAAATATCTATAAAACATAAGAATGATTTCCATTCAGTGTCTGTAAGGCTCCACATCAGCCAAAACGGTCCGTAAATCTCAAAAATAGACTTTTAACCATAATGTTCTTGTTTGAAATCAAAATAATGATAAAGAATTCCACACATTCATGCATTTTGTGGTGCTCAGCAGATTTCCATCGCTCATTGGTTTGCATGTTTGTTTTGTTTTCAAAAAGGAAAATGTA